AAATTAATTGTTCAAAAAGACATAAATAAGGGAATAAATATGATATTCAATCAATAAATTAAATGTTTACATAAAAACACTTTAAAATGTGGTTTCAGATCATATGACATAAATGAATGCAAAATAATAATAAATAAATACATAAGAAATCATCAAAAATACGATTCAATGAAATGCATAAACAAATCACAAACAAAAGCCAACCATTTGTGTACTTTTAAGACTATTATTATATTACTATTATTAGCAATCATTTTGTTAGTAATACTAACTTAGTATGAAACTTATTTCAACACATACTAAATGAGTAAATAATTAGTGGAAATGAAATGAATTAAAAAATTTGTAAAACAAACACAAAATAATTAAATACATAATGCGTTGAATGGGAAACACATTACAAGTGATAGTGATTGCAATGTATAGACAATCGACTCATTCATTGTTGGCATTCAATTAAACGACTATTAAATAAATGGTTAGTAATCCTAAGCATTAGATGATTATAATTAAGACAGTATTTAATGAACAAATAAAACAAATTAAAACAAGTCTTCATTCAAACCTTGAAAGACATTGAAAGCACACAAAATGGTAGCGAAATATATATATCTAACAAATTATGGCAATATTTGCTGCTTTTGGGGCCAACACTACCTCCAAACCATTACTCACTTATGGATCTCTTGTGGTATACTTCTGGTTAACATACGTATCGATAGTTAACTAAATATACGAGTAATTAGTGATCAGTGAGTGAAAGGCAAGCAATCAAATGAATTGCATTTAAAGAGCAAATCAATGAAATGACGCAAAAGTGTGTCGTTTGTGTGAGTCTCAGTGAGTATGCTATGTTAGGCTATGGCTATGGCTATGGCTATGGAGACAACCATTGGTTGAGACTTACGTTTCAATTGTTTGCTTCCCTTATGTGTCGCTGATTTGGTCGCCAATCACTTCAATACACAAATGGATTCAATGGAGACACTGATTGCGATTCAAACGAATGCAATCATACGATTCAAATGGGGTTCAAATTGTTTGCACAAAGTATTCAAACAATCATTGAATACATATCGCATGAAATGAAAGCAAAAGCTAATGAGTGTAGCATTGACTCCGAGTCCACACATACACCAAACCAATCGACAACAGGATTGCTGTTTCACTCACACACTGTCTGTTGTTATGCGAAACCTATTCAACCCTTAATCAGATGCACACCAATCACCACACCCTCCACACCACTCACACTCCGCCCCCAACGCCACCCAAAGCAGCGCCACCTGAGGGGCACTTGCGTACGACACTCGCCAACCATTGCACTCGTCATTCACGCCATCATATGGTGCCACAGATGGCATCACACATGATATGGTGGTGGGTGTGGCCTGTCTACCCGAAATTTACACAGGTATTTACTGTGTGTGTACCCCGGTTACTTTCACATTGTTTTCAAAGCGTTTAGTACATTTGTTTCTGCAATAACCTCAACTTTTCGGTATGTTATCGCAGCTAACGTTTGAGATATCACTTTCAATCACTAGAAACTCATTTCACTGTAATGAACGTGGTGAAATCTGTGAGCGTCATGTACGTCATTACCGTAATGTTACTCAAATTTGCTTTTATATTAAATAAGTTTGTTAAGAATGTTACTAACCGTTATAATTATGTTTTGTTTCCAATCGCTCATTTTAAACATTGATACTAAAAATATGTCTAAAAATGACAGTAAAAAATTATATAGTATTTCATTCACTTCTGTACGCTTTCAAATTGATTAATATTTAAATATACAGAATAAGTAATAATAGATTATAATAATATATAAATTGACTGTAGATTATTAAATCTATTCAAAAAACACATGTCAGGCAATTAGAAACAACTGATTATTTGCACAAATAAGGCAAATGCATAATAAATGATTAGAATTGCGGGGTCTATGGTATGGTACAGTATTTGTGGCAATTATCACAATAGGTTCACATTTTGAATCCATTCATTCATGCAATCAAAGTCTGCGATGGATTATACAAATCCAATAAGTCTTTAGCGGTCGCATGTTTGGTGTGGACGCGATAGGCGACGACCACGGCTTCAGTGCACACGAGACGAGCGCTGATCTTATTATCCAAGAGATAGTCGTAAAGTCCCGACAATAAGGCATTGATTTGCTGTCAATAGAAATAAAAGCATTAATACATTAAATGGTTAGACATGAGTGACAATACATACACTATTGGTCTTACTCTCATTCTTCTTGGACGCCATGTAAATGATTTGATCCCAAAACTCGTCTTCGATATACTTAAGAGTTTTCAATTTATCGGTCAATGCATTGAAGTGATGATTGATTTTAGTGCTGCAGAAGTCATTGCCGGCAGCCATTCCTTTGGCGATTTGGACCAACAGTTCAATCACGTCCTCTCTATCCCACTGATCATCACTCAGATTACGGGACAACTGATCGAAGGCGTCGACCCATCGGCGACTGTTCTTCAGGGTCTGCGTCCTCTCGACAATTGTCTCAATGTTTTGTGAATCTCTTTTAGGAATTTTGAATTTCGTGTCAGTATTCAAGTTATTATCGCTATAAACAGACATTCCCTTCATTTCACTACTTCTTTGGCTCGGAATGTAATTATAAGACTTCTTCGGAGCCTCAGACGTAATCTCAAAGTCATTTAATTTCGTGTATTTGCTCTCATTCTTCACGTCATTCCTCGTGTCGGCCGAAGAGCTCTTTCTCTTGTATTCATTGGTTTTCAAGAACTTCTTCGAAAGGCTCTCCTCTTCGAAGTCCAACTCATCGTTTTCCTCTTGAATGACACACAAGTCTATCATCTCTTCGTGACTCCTCTTCTTCTGGTTATTGGTCTTACGATCACTCGAGTCACTCAAACCGTCTCCATTGGTCTCATTCGACAGCTGTCGACACAATCGGTTGATCTTGTGGTCAATGGATTGACTGAATCCGTTTGTCTGGACATGAGTGCAGTATTTGTCAAGTTTTGGGAACCGATCGATACGAACCACAGGAAAGCGTTGCGATCGACACGTGTTTTGTTTTATCACATCTTTGTATGCCTTCAGCCTCTTCTTCTGCACTTTAACCACGGCTTCGGATGACTCGTAAATGATATGATCATCCATTGCTTGCAATCACTTCACAAATGCTGCAATCAATGACTGAATGTTCAGCCAATTGTATGGCTAATGTTGTCTCATATGAATCACTCACTCAATGCCTTCATGAGTGTCTAATCACTGTATGACTGACTGTATGACTGACCCAATGCTCACCAATACCGTTGACACTGACGACTAAATGTTAGTCATATTTAGTGACAGTTTGTCACCATTTGCGCCAAACTATTGAAACACAGTTTTGAACNTTGTCTCCATAGCCATAGCCATAGCATAACATAGCATAGCATAGCATAGCATACTCACTGAGACTCACACAAACGACACACACTTTTGCGTCATTTCATTGATTTGCTCTTTAAATGCAATTCATTTGATTGCTTGCCTTTCACTCATTGATCACTAATTACTCGTATATTTAGTTAACTATCGATACATATGTTAACCACAAGTATACCACAAGAGATCCATAAGTGAGTAATGGTTTGGAGGTAGTGTTGGCCCCAAAAGGAGCAAATATTGCCATAATTTGTTTCATATATATTTCGCTACCATTTTGTGTGCTGAAAATGTCTTTCAAGGTTTGAATGAAGACTTGTTTTAATTTGTTTTATTTGTTCATTAAATACTGTCTTAATTATAATCATCTAATGCTTAGGATTACTAACCATTTATTTAATAGTCGTTTAATTGAATGCAAACAATGAATGAGTCGATTGTCTATACATTGCAATCACTATCACTTGTAATGTGTTTCTCATTCAACGCATTATGTATTTAATTATTTTGTGTTTGTTTTACAAATTTTTTAATTCATTTCATTTCCACTAATTATTTACTCATTTAGTATGTATTGAAATAAGTTTAATACTAAGTTAGTATTACTAACAAAATGATTACTAATAATAGTAATATAATAATAGTCTCAAAAGTACACAAATGGTTGGCTTTTGTTTGTGATTTGTTTATGCATTTCATTGAATCGTATTTTTGATGATTTCTTATGTATTTATTTATTATTTTATTTTGCATTCATTTATGTCATATGATCTGAAACCACATTTTAAAGTGTTTTTATGTAAACATTTAATTTATTGATTGAATATCATATTTATTCCCTTATTTATGTCTTTTTGAACAATTAATTTATAGAAAGTTCATATAAATTATAGTAAATTATAATAAATGCTTAACACATCATAAGATAAGTTATGATACTATGAAAGCATACAAATATACAAATTATGAATATATTATAAAATCTTAAGTTATGAGCACTTGATTTGGGTTTGATTTAACGATTACATAATCGCTCACTCTTTCCATACAATCACTTGTTTTATGTATTTATTTGCAAATCCATTATTTCCTTAAATTTAAGTCGAGTTCAACGCTTAACTCATTTGTTTCATAAACCCATTTAAACATTAGTTTAATATTTCAGGGCTTAACACATAATCTGATTTTTGTTTAATATTTTATTTATTATATTTTTAATTAATATTCAATTAAGACTTATGTAATTAATTGAAGCCTTTTGTAATTGTAATATTTAATTGAGATTTTGATAATATGTATAGATGTTTAGTGTAATGAAATCCATATGATCTGTAATTTTAAGTAAAAATTTGTAACCGAAAAATAGATGACAAATATAGGTCAAGAAGTTTTGTGTTACTGAATATGTGTTATGCGTTACGAGTTTGGGTTAGCCTTTCATTCACTCATTTCATACAATCTCTCATTTAGTTTCTAATATTTGCTAAATAATTGTGTGATTTATCGTGTATTATAACATCCAATGAATGCATTATTAAGCGATTAATGATTGAAAACTGTTTGTATTGCAGAACGCATTCACTTAATGGATAAAAGTATCAAATGTTAGTCTGGAATAGACTTGTCTTATATGGCAGACAGAAAGTCGAGTCATAAAGAGGGGACAATCGCGTCGTCTTCTTTGAAACGGTCTCAACGCTGTCTGGGCTCGCGATCGCCTATCAGAACCCGGTTCGTACCGCTCGGCCGCCAACCCTTGTCTTTGTGACCATTTTTTTGTGACCAATTGTTTTGTCTTGAATTTAGATCAAAATCTTTAGCGTCGAAAAGAGATTTATTGAGTCAAAGTGTTGGTTCAGGGGAACTGTCGTTCGCTTCCACTTCACTACACACTCAAGACTATAGTGTAAGCGATCTCTCGACTAAAAGCAAACCAAACAAACGCTTATCAGAAGAAGACTCCTCTCCCGGAAAAAAGGCTAAAAGGGAATCGACTTCTTCTATAGGTTTGTCTATAAGTCTATAATTAATGAAAACTTATTTTTAGAAACGATTATTGTTTACAATTTAGATAAAGACTTGATTGCAATCAACTTAAGTCTTAGTAAAGAAAGGGCTGTCCCTTCGTCTTCAGTCGATATCCCGAAACGCAAAGGAAGGCCACGAAAAAAGTTCTCGACTTCTGATTCATCTCTACTTCAGTCATCTTCTGGACAGACATCACATACAGAAAGCTCCCAAAGGAGTGGTTCTAATCAGCCATTTGTGGCCACCGCTGACCACTCGTTTGGCTCTAAACGTATTAAAAGTAATCCGAAGTCATTGTCGAACTCCAGAATTGGTACGAGTAGTTCACGTGACCTGTCGGGCGAACAAGAAATAGGTCCAGAGAGGACATCTACAACGGGGTCGTGTGCCAGTAGTTCGCGCCGGCGTTCCTCCCGCCTCAATACCAAAGCGCCAGTCAATCCGTCGTTGACTTCTAGTTCCGGTGCCGGCACGTCATCCTTCGCACCTAATTCTGCCTCTAATTCTGGAGGAGGGAGTGGAAGACAGGCACTGATCAGGAGTAACACTAGAAGTGGTGGTATGGATGAAGATGTCTCCAATGCAGACACTTCTCGAACCGAAGCCTCATCTTTGAGCACCGCGTCGGCCAGTCTGACGGCCGCCGCCCAGTCGTCAGTCGCCGCATCGGTAGCCTCTGTGGCCAATGTGTTGGTGGGCTCAGCGGACAGTGAGTCGGATGACAGCGAAATGGGACGCCTGCAGGCCTTACTCGAAGCCAAAGGGTTGCCACCACATCTATTCGGCGCTTTGGGACCTCGAATGCAACACCTGTTGAACCGGTCGATTGGCACCAGTAGTAGCAGTAAAGCTCATCAACTCCTGCAAGGATTGCAAGCGAATGGAGACGAAGGCCAACAATTGCAGGCTGTGATGGAAATGTGCCAACTCTTGGTTATGGGCAATGAGGACACACTCGGAGGCTTCCCAGTGAAACAAGTCGTGCCGGCGCTCATCACTCTGTTGTCGATGGAACACAACTTCGATATCATGAACCACGCGTGTCGTGCCCTCACGTATATGATGGAGTCGTTGCCGCGCTCTTCGGCTGTAGTCGTGGACGCCGTTCCCGTCTTTCTCGAGAAGCTTCAAGTGATTCAGTGCATGGATGTGGCCGAGCAGTCGTTGACTGCGTTGGAAATGCTGTCCCGACGTCACAGCAAAGCCATACTTCACGCTCGAGGAGTGTCTGCGTGTCTCACATATTTGGACTTCTTCTCGACTAATGCCCAGCGCTCTGCCCTTTCGATTACAGCCAATTGCTGTCAGAACCTAACCATCGATGAGTTCTCCTTAGTTCAGGAATCGCTCACAACTCTGAGCTCCCATTTGACGCATTCAGACAAGAAGTCCGTTGAAAGCATATGTTTGGCGTTTTCGCGATTAGTTGATTGCTATCAACTCGAGTTCGCTATTATTAGTGAAATAGCATCCAATAGTTTGTTAACTAATTTGCAGCAACTCTTGATTGTCATACCGCCCGTCATCAGCACCGGTACCTTCGTTAGTGTCATTCGAATGCTGTCTATCATGTGTTCCTCATGTCCTGAAATAGCGGTCCAACTCTTGAAACTAAGTGAGTATTTGATTGATTATACAGTATTTGGTAACCAATGGTAACATTTGTATTCTTCCGGTGCAGACATTTGCGAAACCCTTCGCTATCTACTGCTGGGCTCGAGTGCCACGAAAGATGACATGGAATTAGTGAACCGCAGTCCACAAGAACTCTTTGAGATCACGTCTCTGATCGGAGAACTGATGCCTCGTTTGCCGACTGACGGCATCTTTTCTGTGGACAATCTTCTCTGCAAACAAACTGGTGTTCAAATGGAAGCCATACTCTGGCAATGGAAGGACGACAGAGGTTTATGGCATCCGTACAGCAATATCGACGGCCGGATCATAGAAGCCGCCCATCAGTCCGGCGAAGATGAGATCAGTTTGTCAGCGATGGGCAGGACTTATGTCATAGATTTCAATTCAATGCAACAAATCAACGAAGAGACGGGAACCTCACGTGCCGTTCAGCGCCGAGTCAACTGCGCCACTGATGTCGCCTCTCTCTCCCAAACCACTGGACGTGCTGTCGATCCGCGCGCCGACAGTCTGGAGAAGGAGCCCGAGATGGCGAGTGCTTTCGTCAAATCACTTTTCAATGTATTATATGAAGTGTACAGTAGTTCCGCGGGACCGGCAGTTCGCCATAAGTGCCTCAAAGCATTGTTGCGTATTATATACTATGCATCCAATGATTTATTGAAGTCAGTGCTCAAGAATCAGGACGTCTCGAGTCATATCGCAACGATGTTGGCCTCACCCGACCTCAGGATCGTTGTCGGCGCCACTCAAATGGCGAACATTCTTATGGAGAAATTGCCCGAAGTTTTCGCCATTTATTTCCGGCGCGAAGGTGTTATCCATCAAATCCAGAAGCTTTCCAAAGGGGAGGAGAGTGTGGACTCCTCTTCCACTTTGATGTCTCCGTCAGCCATAACCTCACTTCCCGTCTGCAAAATGGAACCGATTGCTGGTTCCAGTTCCGCACCCGTCTATCCATCACAATCTCATTCAGTGTTTTTCGAGACCACAATGAATATAAGCCCTCCGAACAGCTCATCACCACTGGAGGCGTCGCCTCCCTGTGATGTGTCGACTGAGATGTTTGCGAATACAGTTCAAAGTGCTCTACAAAACGGATTTAATAATAACGTATCCAACTGTGCGTCCGCCCAATCACTCACTTCTCTTAGCACTTCAGTTCCCGTCACTCCCACAGCCTCTTCACCGGACATCCTGTCCGCTCGCAGTGCCGAAGACACCGTCGCTGTGTCCGACCATTTAGTCAACACCGGGTATGTCTTTGTGTCCTTTTCTTATTGCTTTTACCCAACCATTCATATCATTACTAAATCTTAATACTAACAGTAAGTATGTAGTTTTGAGTGTAAAACATGATTAAAGACTATTTATAATTAATGACAAGATTTAGAAATAGATTGTATTAAATGAGTTAGAATTAAGTTTAGTAATGAAATGAATGCCAATTGAACACAACTACCATCTGATGATCCAACCCTTACCTAATCTTATATAAGATGATGAATATATCCATCGCTTTACCGGATTCTGAATAATTAGTGAATTTCTAAACCCTTAATCTCTTGTAATCCCTAATACTAATGAAGTCCTCCTATCAGTAGAGCTGATGAGACACTTAAGCGCAAGAGAACTCGAAAGGCTGTGAACGCCAGCAGTTCCGGTGTCACCCGAAAGACTAGAAGCGAATGTGATAACAATTCTTCACTCAATTTGCGAAGTTATGCCACTCATAGCACCCACAGCTCTGCCTCTAATCTGAACCGAAACTATTCAACTGAATCTGAAATGACGACAACTCTGACCACTCCTTATATATCTCTCCCGATATTTATCGGCGACAATACGTCTGCCAATAACAACGTATCCAATCTGTTGAGCGCCACCTCTTCAGTGCCAACGCATACCACATCCCATAGCAGTCGTGGCCGCCCGGCCTTCAGATTCAGTTCGGCCGCCGCGAAGACGAGCGCTTTCTTTCAAAGCCTACATCCGGCGCGTTGGGGCCGTTGGAACAACAGCTCACCCGCTCTCGTCTCTTCCAACAGTGGCCTCTCCTCCGGACGCTCTCAACTCGTCGCCCATTCCTCAGACCACACCTCTATCTCCAGAACCTCTTCGCCGCGATCACCAAATAATAGCGGAAACAGAGAGAAGATTCGACTTTGGATTAAAGAACAGGCGAAGGCTTTTGAGGACAAATACTTCAAGGATGAGGAGTCGACTGAAGTGGGCGACGCCTACACTAAATCCCATCCCTCTCTTAATATTCTGAATCGTTTGACGAAAGCCATTGAAATGTTGGGCGACAACCATATCAAAGCACTCGAAGACATTCGATCCGTTGTCATGGAGGGCGACATCTCGTCGTTTGAGTTGAACCACTCGGGACTCGTCACCCGTTTCCTCCATTTCCTCGTCTCTAACAACGACTCAAATGAATGTCGCGATCAAAGACTTCGCAGTTTTCTTCACGTCTTCTTCGGTACTCCACTCGAAGACACTTTTCAATTGGATTCCATAGTGTCTGCAAATGTAGACTACGCGCCCCTTTCGGCGTTAGTCAATAAGTTGAACGCCTGTGTCTCCCAATTGGAACAGTTTCCGGTCAGAGTTCACGACTTGGTCGGGTCGGGCACCGGTAGCATTCGTGGTGCCAGTGCTCTAAAGTTTTTCAATACTCACCAATTGAAGTGCAATTTGCAAAGACATCCCGACTGTACTAATTTGCGGCAATGGAGGGGAGGACCCGTCAAAATAGATCCGTTGGCTTTGGTTCAGGCCATTGAACGCTATTTAGTGATCAGAGGCTACGGAAAGATCAGGGATGAGGACGAAGACGCCAGCGATGACGACATCTCAGACGAGGAGTTCGACGACAATATGGCTGCGATGATGATCAGTCAGAATCAGGGACGACATCGACTCCAGTTCTATATCGGCGAACAACCCCTGCCTTACAATATGACTGTCTATCAGGCTATCAAACAACACGCTTACGGACACAACACTCACAACTCCGATGGACACGAGACGGACAATGAGTCGGAGACGCCTATGGGTCACGCGAACATATGGGTGGCCACTCATACCATTCATTACAAAGCCTATGTCGAGGGTGTGTGCAGTCCGTCGACCGGATCCAATGCCATCGCTAACTTAAGTTCCAGTCAATGCCTAACCAATAGAAACTCAAACAATAGTAGTAATCAAAACTGTAATAATCAAAGTGGAAAAAAAGGCAGTAAAGGAAGTTCTGGTGGAAAGGGATCCAACAAAAAGAAAGACGAGCTCTGGATTGAAGGCAAAGCGCCGTCCGTCTCGTCGCCTTTAGATTCATATCTTAAGCCTCATTTGCCATCTTCTATAACAGTCCAAGACTTGTCTCTAGAAGTGCTTTCACTGTTAAGAGTCATATACGGTCTGAGCCGCCATTGGGGTTGGCTCTACCAACTGCCCGATCCGTACAACAGTGCTCTACCTCTTCAAGACTTTATTAATGTCAAACTCACGGCTAAAGCCAATCGTCAACTTCAAGACCCACTGGTGATAATGACGGGCAATATCCCGAACTGGTTGTCCCAAATCGCCTATTCGTGTCCATTCCTGTTCCCATTCGAGACGAGATACCTATTGTTTTACGTGACCTGTTTTGACAGAGACCGGGCTCTCCAGAGGCTCTTAGACAGTGCGCCCGAACTGACGGGAAGTGATTCCAGCGAAAGAGTGACCCCAAGACTGGACAGACGGAAGCGAACGGTTTCGCGCGAAGACATACTAAAACAGGCGGAAACCGTTTTACATGATTTGGGAAACTCGAAGGCATTGCTTGAAATACAGTACGAGAACGAAGTCGGCACTGGTTTGGGGCCAACCCTCGAGTTCTATGCCCTCGTCTCCAAAGAACTACAGCGCGCAGACCTCGACATGTGGAGGGGAGAAGCCGTCTCCGCACCCAAAGTAGTCGTCCATCAGCCCAACCATAAGATAACCGCCACTTCTTCGACAACTGCTAATGAAAACCAAAACAATAATCAAATTCAAACCAATCA